ACAGGGGCCATTAAGACATGGTCGCCAGGAGAGCGGTCTGATGATGCTCTCCTCCTGGGACACCAGCCAGGCTCCTTGGTGCCACCCACGTAGTTTGGGAGTTGCTCAGGCTTGCCCTTCAGGGAGCTGGCATTCTCTTTGTATCAGACCCGAACAAGCAATACCTAGGAGCCGGCACCTCCTTGGGTGTCAGGGGAGAGGGGAATGAATGCCTATGTATTTGTCTGTTTTGAAGTCTCACTTTGGTTAGTGATGAATTAGATCCTGTAGTTGACCTGCAGAGAGCGAGCAGGGTGTGGGTCTCGAATGGGGACTGGGCAGGGAGCCTTCACAGGCTGAGCCTGATGTTTCTGTCCTCTTTGCAGATGGCCCGTACCCTTACACTCTGAAGTTGTGCTTCTCCACTGCACAGCACGCCTCCTAATTAGATGCCCAGGAAGAGCCCATCCGAGCAGGAAAACATTTCTTTCCTTTATGCTGTTGGTTTTGTTGGTTTCAGTTTTGGTTTGATTTATTTTTACAAAGTTTCTTGTATTCTTTTTTTAATGCTAGGTCAGTAGAGGCTTAACCATAATGGAAATGCTGGAACTCTGGAGGGGGAGGGAGAGGGGAACTGGTATCTCCCAAGATTAACCTTCACTTTTTAAAAAATTACTGTACATGTGATTTTTTTTTTCCTGTTCATACATTTGTGCTGCCCATGTACTCTTGGCACATTTCAATAAAATTGTTTGGAAAATAAAACAACTTGCTGGATTCCAGGGTGTGTCTGCTTCCCACCGCCTTCTGAAGAGGTGCAGGGAGACCAAGGCATGGCTCTAGGCCCTCAGGAAGAACGACAAACTATAGGAATGATGTCTGGAGTCTCGATGAAAATTCACCAGGCCTAGTGGCATTTCTGGTAGGGCCCTATTCAAACTAGGTTCATTCTAGTTATTGAGTCATTTTTAAATAAGTGGTATTACAGCGGGGCATGGTAGTGCACACCCAGCACTTGGGAGGCAGAGGCAGACAGATCTTTGTGAGTTCAAGGCCAGCTTGGGCTACATAGTTCAGGACAACTGGGGCTACAAGAAGACCCTGTCTCAAAAAGACAAAAAAATAAATGTATTAGGGGCTGGTGGCCAGGTGAGGATGGCTCAGCTGGCAAAGGCACTTGCTGCCAAGCCTGCCTCCTGAGTCTTGTCCAGGATGCCTGACCTGATGCTGTGCAGGATCCACTTCATGGCAGGAGAGACAAAAAGCTGTCCTGACCTACACATGTGCATTAAAAGTGGGTTAGGGCAGGATTGGTGGAACTTACCCTGTAGTCCCAGCTACCTGGTCTTGCTAGAGCCCAGAAATTTTGAAGCCAGACTGGACAGCATGCAAGGCATACAAGTGTTTCAAATTATCCTGCAGAGAGACTGAAAATTGGCCCTTCTACATATCTAAATGCTTTGTGTGTGTGTGTGTGTGTGTGTGTGTGTGTGTGTGTGTGTGTTACACATGATGGCATGAATACCTTGTCAGTCCCAAGAGACTGGCTTGGTGGCAAGTGCCTTAACCAGCTGAGTCTCATCTTTCCCCCTTCAGGGTATCATTCTGTGGGTGTGTCATGGTCTATTTAACCTGGTCCTGAAAATAATTTCCAGGTCTTTCTGCTGTCTTTATATGCAACTATCTTGGCCAACTTGTCTGCTACTAACCCTGAAGTGAACTGCAGTGGAATTGCCATGTGCACCACTATAAATAGCGGAAGCATGTGGTAGATAGTCCCTGGTCTTGTGTGTTTATGTATATGAGTGTTTTGCCGATGTGTGCACCATGTGTGCAATGCCACTGGAGGCTAGAATGTCATATCCTCTGGAACTGGAGTTAAGTATGGTTGTTAGCCACTAAGTGGGTACTGGGAAGTGAAACTGGGTCCTCTGCAAGAGCCAGTGCTCTTAACCCAGTCCCAGTCCTTGATTTTGGATGGGAGTCTGTGAAGATGGCTCCAGTTAGAAGCTGGGCCCAGGAGAAACCCAAGTTAAACCTCTTCTGTCCTCTGCGGGCATTGAATGACACAGGTGCAGTTAGTTACCTACATGGAGGCAACACACACAATAAAAATATGAAAACAAAACCACTAACATCCTTGGAAGGAGGCAGCCTGCAGAGGAGCTGGCCATACTAGTAGCAGTTGGAGGCAGGAATGGGTTTTGAACAGTCTGCTTTAGGAGTATGGTCTAAAGACATTAATAACTGGAGTCACATATTTACTAGATGAACCCACTATTTGATCTGGGAATACTTTTTTTTTTTTTTTTGAGGGGGCGGGTCTTTTTGAGACAGGGTCTCCCTGTAGCCCCAGCTGTCCTGAAACACTATGTAGACCAGGCTGGCCTTGAACTCACAGAGATCCACCTGCCTCTGCCTCCCAAGTGCTGGGACTACAGGTGTGTGCCACAAAGTACTATTTTATCAGCTGTCTACCATTCAAGTTTATTCCCTGGTGGTATAAATTGTCCACAATTACCTTTGGTTTTACACTAGATTACATAAAATGACAACAAATCTTGCAAATTTTCCTTCTCATCTTGGTATCTGTTTAGGATTTTCAGCTTTCCATTGAATGCATTACTTCTGATAGCTGCTGGTTTTATCTCCTGTAGAGTGTCTACCTCGTCTGTAAATCTGGGCAGCAGACATAGGAAGATTCACTTGCAGTCCCGCTGGCCCAGAGACATCTGTTCACCCTCTTGGTGAACATCTCCCCAAGGAGCACACTTAGGCAGTTCTTTATGCTCTTGGGTAATGCTTTTTTTTTTTTTTTTTTTTTTTTTTTTTTTTGAGACAGGGTCTCCCTGTAGCCCCAGCTGTCCTGGAACTCACTATGTAGACCAGGCTGGCCTTGAACTCAAAGATCTGCCTGCCTCTGCCTCCCAAGTGCTGGTATTAAAGGCATGCGCCACCACACCTGGCATAAGTAATGCTTTTTTTAAAAATGCATTTTTATTTTATGTGCATGAGTATATTGCCTGTACGTATGTGAGTGCACCTGTGTCATACAATGCTGCAGAGGTCAGAAGAGGGCTTCAGATTCCTCTGGAACTGGAGTTAAGGATGGTTCGTAGCCACCATGTGGGTGCTGGGAATTGAACCTGGGTTCTCTGCAAGAGCAGTCAGTGCTCTTAACTGCTGAGCCATCTCTCCAATCCTGGGTAATGCTTTTTAAGATTGTTTGTTGTTTAAAAACATGGACTTTAGGCCAGGCAGGTGGTGAATGCCTTTAATCCTAGCACTTGGGAGGCAGAGGCAGGCTGATCTCTGAGTTGGAGGCCAGCCTGGTCTACATAGTTCCAGGCTAGCTCCCCGGGGTTAGAGGGAGACCCTGTCTCAAAAAAAAAAAAGAAACACAAACTTAAGGAAAAAGGGCTTAGTTCTCTCCCACCACTGTATGTGGCATTTAACCTGTACGGTCTCTTGCTGTTTAGGTAGTTTGCTTTTGGTAATGAAAGCTGTAGTCCCTTTAGGATGTATTTTAATGAATGTTGTGAAATGGTGATCTGAACTATAGATTTGCACCTAAAACATTTTAGAAACTTACCCTTTTTTTTTTTTTCTCATAGTTGTGCTACTGTGATAACCAGGGAGAATTTGGGACAGGTTGTGACTTTGTGCTGCTCAGCAGGGTTGTGGTACTATTAAATGGCCTGAGCAGCTTTTCACCTGAATCCATTTCTAGTAGTGAATTTGATGGATTATCAGAAGTATCAATGGTTGGCCAGCCTGGTCTCCATAGTGAATCCAGAGCAGCTGTGGCTACAGGAAGAAAAAAAAGAATATAGACTTCAGTGGGTCTGGAGAGATGGCTCAGTGGTTAAGAGCATTGGCTGCTCTTGCAGGGAACCCAGGTTTGATTCCCAGCAACCACATGCTGCCTATAGCTGTCTGTAACTCCAGTTCCAGGGCATCTGGCATCCTCTTCTGACCTCCGAGGGCTTTGCATAACATGGATGTGCTTACTACATCTGGGCAAAACACTCGTGTACATAAAATTTTAAAAATGAAAATAAACATGGTCGCGGTGGCACACACCTTTTGTCCCAGCACTCAGGAGACAGAGGCATATCTCTTGAGTTTGAGGCCAACTTGGGTTAACACAGTAAGGTCTAGGCTAGTCAGGGCTACATACTGAGACCTTTAAAAAAAAAAAAAAAAAAAAAAAAAAAGGGGGGAAGCCCGGCATGGGGGGGCACCCCTTTAATCCCAGCACTTGGGAAGCCGAGACAGCCAGATCTCTGTGAGTTCAAGGCCAGCCTGGTCTACATAGTGAGTTCCAGGACAGCTGGGGTTACAGGGAGACCCTGTCTCAAAAAGACAAAAAGAAAAAAGAAAAAGGAGGCATGGTGATCCTTCTTTCACCTGTAATCCCTTCTCTTAGGAGGCAGAAGCAGGAAGTCTTTGCAAGATCAGCCTGGACTACACAGTAAGTTCCAGGCTAGGGAGGGGTTATATAAGACCCTGTTGTCTAAAAACGGAAGAGGCTGTGGCTATGTTGGCACCACAGAACAAAACATGGTAGGCTTTTTAAAGCCATTTATTCTGTGGCACTCAGGAAAGTCCAGTAACCTTGAACTTTGAAGTTTCTCTCTGAGTCTGATGAGAAGTTGTACCACCTCTCGGTAGTGTGGAATAAAAACTGGTTCATTCTGGCCTGTCTGTACCCTCATAGCCACTTTTTTGTTACTATGTCCATGAAATGGTTGCAAATTTCCAGGGTTGACATTATGTCCCTGACCATTTGAATTGTCTCCAGTTTCCTTGTTACAAACAACGCGCGATGAACTTTACACAGACATTTCCAGAAGCAATGTGATTGATCAGGTCAGGTTCCCACTGGGGCAAAGGGCTTACCTAAGCTCGTGAATGGGGCGGGCGGGGGGGTTACTGTTTCCGGTTGCCCTTAGTAAAGATGGTGAACTAAGCGACCTCACTGCTCGTTAGGTGGTGGCTGCGGCGGCTTCGATGCCCTCACCAAACATGGCGGACTTTCCTGCCCGCCCCCTTTGTTTTCTAGGTAGCGAAACTCCCGAGTCTCAGACGCTAAGAAGCCTGGGAGATGGCAGTTTCCACCAAACTCCGCGGCCTGCTAATGCGGCGTGAGTTACTTTAACCTGTGGAGGCGTGTGGCTGTGTGGTCTTGTCATAGTAGCGGGGAACCTCAGGTCATAAAGGGTCTGATCCCTTTAAAATTAGGGGTCCCTCTGTAGTCTAATGAAATTCTAATTGTATAGGCCGGTCTTGCAGTGTAGGGTCTCGGCCCCCAAGTTTGGGTCATTCCCACGAACCAGGGTCAGAAGTGGGCTCAAACTGAAGTTGACTGATCAGTGTCCACCAGTCTTAAAATATGTATCTCACCAGGCCTGGTGGTCCACACCTTTAATCCTAGGCAGAGGCAGGCAGATCTCTGGGAGTTCAAGGCCAGCCTGGTCTACCCAGCAAGCATCAAGCCAGCCAGGGCTGCATAGTGAGACTCTGTCTCAAAACAACGAAGTAGCTCCCTAGAACAGCCTCTCTGAGAAGCTAGTGTTGACTCTCCATTCTTACACTCACTTGGTGGGAGGGGTGTCCTCCAGTGTCCTGACCCCATTCTGGGGTCTCAAAGGCTCTTCTTTCTTTTCCCAGAGCTGAGAGCTCCCAGTCATCTGAACTTCATTAACTTTCGCACCCTGAGCCCCTCTGCACAAGAGGCGTCCAGAGTTGTCACCCAGGAATTCTCAGATCACAACTATGAGTCTCTTCAAGTGACCTCTACCCAGAAACATGTTCTCCATGTGCAGATAAACCGGCCAGACAAGAGGAATGCCATGAACAAAGCCTTCTGGAGGTCTGGCGGTCAGATCCTGGAGGCTTGCCTGCAAGAGGTGGCAAAGGAGGGAGGACACAGGGACTTGGGGGACAGGGACAGGAGTGAGTCCCACTCCAGATATAATCCCTCATTCCTTCCTCCTCTGCAGGGAAATGGTGGAATGCTTTGGAAAGATAGCAAAAGACCCCGACTGTCGGGCTGTTGTGATTTCCGGTGCAGGAAAAATGTTCACTTCAGGTACTGGCCCCCTGTGGCCTCCTCCTGGCATGCTGTTTTTTTTGGTTGTTGGTTAGTTTTGTTTGTTTACCTTTGCTTTTTGCGTTTTTTTTTTTTTTTTTTTTTTTTTTTTTTTTTTTTTTTTTTTAGGCATGGTCTCGCTAAGCAGCCTTTCCTAGCCTGTAACTCTCTGTGCAGACCATGCTGGCCTGGAACTTGCAGTAAACCCCCTGCTGCAGCTTCCTAAATGTTGTAGTGCTGGGATTATAGGCCTGCCTGACACCATAAGTGCTTCCATTTTATTTTTAAAATTTTTGTTGTTTTGAGCTTTTTTGTTTTGTTTTGAGACAGAATCTCACTATGTAGACCTGGGTGGCCTTGCAGTCACAGAGATCTGCCTGTGTCTGCCTCCTGAGTGCTAGGCTTAAAGGCCAGAGCCACCACACCTGGCTACATTTTTTATTTTTAAATCACTTTGTGAGTGTGTGTGTGTGTGTGTGTGTGTGCGCGCGGTGTGTGCATGTACATGCTCAGGAGTGCCACAGCATGCGTGTGGAGGCCAGAAGACAATTTGCAGGAGTCCGCTTGCTCCTATCATGTAGGTCCCAGGGCTCGAACTCAGGTCATCAGGCTTGGCCGCAAGCACTTTTACCCACTGAGCCATTTCGACAGCCCTGCAGTGCTTCTTAATTAAGGTTTTAAGCAACTTCCATTATCATTTTTTTCAAGGTCTAATTTAAAACATTCAAATGTAGATAAAGCGTAGCATGCAACACTTGCCTGGCATGCACAGAACTTAGCATTCCCTCCCCCACAAATTCAAACATAGAAATTAGCTCAACAGGGCATGACAGGATCCTGAAGTCTGTGTTTCCATTATGGATCAGTGACCTTCAACAAGGCTCTTAGCCTTTCAGAGCCTGTAGTGGTGTCAGCCAAGTGTGTGTTAGGCATGGGCTTTCCTGCAGTAACTGAGCACACACTGCTGATCTCAATTTACGTTTCCATAAGTAGATATCACACCACTGTTCTTTCTTCAGGTTGAATCTGTCTCTCCTCCGCTGTGAAACACATCCAGTGATTTATTTATTTTATATGTATGAGTGTATTGTGTGCATACGTGTTAGTGCACCCGTGTCATGCAATGCCCTTGGAGGACAGAAGAGGGCATCGGATCCCCTGGAACTGGAGTTACAGGTGGTTGTTAGCCCCCATGTAGATGCTGGGATTCGAACCCAGGTCTTCTGCAAAAATAGCCAGTACTCTTAACCACCACTGAGTCATCTCTCCAGCCCATATCCAGTGATTTTTAACTTAAGGGTTTTTTTCCATTCTCAAACATTCTAGTTAGCTTTAGCTGTCAATTTGACACAGCCTAGAGTCACCTGAGAAGGGATTCTTTCTAATTGGTTTATTGTTTATTTGTGACAAGGTCTCACTATGCAGCCCAGACTGGCCTTGAACTCCTGATCTTCCTGCTTCAACCTCCCCAGTGCTGGGATTTATAGGTGTAAGCTGCTCTTGTTTGTTCCTTTATTGTTTGTTATGATTTGTTTGTTTTTATTTTTGCTTAAATAAGTATGTGCCATGTGCATGGGTAGGTGTGGGTGTTTGCACGTGTGCAGCTGCCCTTGCTTCTGTGTGCGCCGTTGGGTAGAAGCCCAAGGTTGATGTCTGCAGATTACTCTCCATCTTAAATACTGGAGCAGGGTTTATCACTGAGCTGGGAGTTGGACATTTAGGCTAGTCTGGATAGCCAGCTTGTCTCAGGGACTCATTGTGTCCCGAGCTGGGATTATAGGTGGTTGCTATGCCCCCCAGCTTTTACATGGTACTGGGGAGCCAGACTCCTACTGTCCTCACACGTGGCAAGTGCTTTACCCCGAGTCATGTCTCCAAGCCGTATTTTGTTTTGGAGACAAGGTCTGACTTAGTAGCACAACTGGCCTTAAACTAAAGCTCACCCCACCTATATAGGCTTGAATCAACATGTCGGTTTCCCCATGAGTTCAGGGATTAGGGTATTATCTGTATTCTCTAAGAAATGAGTACCTACTGCATATCCAGCCCTGTTCTAAGCACCCAGGATACACGGGCGGCAATAAGGTAAACACTCTGGTTCATGGAGCTCATTTCTAGAACAGAGACAGACAGTGTGAAGCATAGTAGAAAAGGCAGAGCCAGGGATGAAGGGTGGCCAGGGAAGGCCTCTCTGCAAAGGTGACCTTGAGCCGAGACTTGAAGGAAGCCAGTAGCCATTGAAGGAAGTGGTAAAAGGGACAGTTGTTGGGAAAGGAAACAGGAAGCATAAAGGGCTTGGAAAGAACTGCTGGGACTAATGCCCCCAAAGCTGCAGGTGGAAATGAGGTTCATGCAGAGCTGGGGAGGTCACAGCAATGATTTTCCATTTTGTTTATTTATATTTAGTTTTATATTTTCTGTTTATATTTGAATTTTTTACATGTTAAGAGTGTTTTAGGGGGCTGGAGAGATGGCTCAGTGGTTAAGAACACTGGTGGTTCTTGCAGAAGACCTAGGTTTGAAGCCCAGAACCCACATGGCAGCTAACAACTGTCTGTAACTCCAGCCCCAGGGGATCTGACAGTCTCTTCTGACCTCCTTGGGCATTGAACGATATGGGTGCACTTACCTACATGCAGGCAGTACACAATGCATACACATAAAAAATAAAATAAGTAATAATAAATTTTTTTTTAAAAAGTATTTTCAGGGCTGGAGAGATGGCTCAGCAGTTAAGAGCACTGACTGCTCTTGCAGAAGACCCAGGTTCAATTCCCAGCACCCACATGGCAGCTATGAACGGTCCTTAACGCCAGTTGCAGGGGAATCTGAAACCCTCTTCTGACCTCCACGACATTGTATGACATGGGTGCACTCACATACATGCAGGCAATACACTCATACACATAAAACAAAAATAATAAATAAAATATTTTAAATTAAAAAGTGTTTTCGTTGCATGTATGTAAGTGCACCTGTGTCATGCAGTGCCCAAGGATGCCAAAAGAGGGCGCTGAATCTCCTGGAACTGGAGTTAAGGATGGTGTTGGCCACCATGTGGGTGCTGGGAACCAAAAACTCTTAATTGCTGAGCCATCTCTCCAACTCCCTAGTTATTTAGTTTTAAGACAGGGTCTCACTCTGTAGACCTTGCTGTCCTAGAACTCAATATTAGACCAGGCTGACCTCAGACTTGCAGTGAGCATCCTGCCTCTGCTTCTCAAGTGCTGGGATATCACACAGGAGCTACCATGCCTGATTTAAGAACTTAGTATTCGTTTTGGTTTGGATTGGTTTTTAACACACTGAGGGTAGAACCCAGGGCTTCTGCATTCTAGGCAGGTGCTCTACCACTGAGCCACACCCCCAGGCCCTCACTGGGGGATTCTAGGCAAGTGTTCCACCACTGCCACAAAGGGGTAGGACCTCACACTTAAGTATTAAGTGATGTAAGTGTCTGAACCCACTGCTTCTGAGTTCAGAGCCCTGGTTGGGGCAGTGGATAGGGCCATGGAGCTAGGTGAGCCCCTTATACCTTCCTGCCAGGTATCGACCTCATGGACATGGCCTCAGACCTCCTGCAGCCTCAAGGAGATGATGTGGCTCGCATCAGCTGGTACCTCCGTGATTTCATCAGTCAATACCAGAAGACCTTCAGTGTCCTTGAGAAGGTGACTCTGGGAGCTGGAGAGCACCCCCTCTACCCACATCTCTGCCAGACTTGACCTCATCCTTCCTGTTCCTTTCCAGTGCCCCAAGCCCGTGATTGCTGCCATTCATGGGGGCTGCATTGGCGGAGGTGAGTCTGCAGCCACCAGCCACCATGGGGATGCCTGAACTGGCCAGGCAGCTAGCCCTCCAGTTCGCCCACCAATGGCCTTGTCTCAGCTCTGTTACTGCTTAGACTTGGTCCCCAGGTATGACCCCTGTGTCTTGGGAGGAGGGATTGGTTCTTGCTGGTATTCAGTGTCCCTGTCCTCTTCCTCCCAGGTGTGGACCTCATCTCTGCCTGTGACATCCGATACTGTGCTCAGGATGCTTTCTTCCAGATCAAGGTGAGGCACTTCCTGAGCGCCTGCCTTCTGGAACCCCTGTTGTTCTGAGCAGTGACAGAATGGGAGACAGGGCAAGGACAGTATAAGCCCAGTCAGCCATTCCAAAGAACTTCATGAAAAAGGGCCTCAGAACCAAACCTTACAAATTAAGTCTATAGTGTGGAGCAGGGTATGGTGAGGCACACCTGTAATCCCAGCACTCAGGCAGCTAAGGCAGGAGGATCATCGCAAGTTCAAGACCAGCCTGGGCTATGGAGTAACAGAGGCTGTCCTAGTTTTTCTTCCTGTTGCAGTGATAAAATAGTCCTACAAAAGTAGCTTAAAGGAGAAAGAGTTTATTTCAGTTCACAGTTCAAGGTTCAGTCCATCATGGAGGGGAAATCAAGGCTGAAGGAGCTGGAAGCCACTGGTCAGCAGAGAAGCACAGTGAATGCTTGCTCAGCCCCCTATCCCTCATAACATCCAGGATCCGCTGCTCAGGGAATGGTCCACAATTAAGATGGGTCTTCCTACATCAATTAAAACGATCAAGATAATCCCTCATAAGCATACCCTGGGCCCTATCTCCCAGGTGATCCTAGGTCTGTCAAGTTGACACTTGACAGTAATCATCACATAGACCAACCTCAGCTACATAGTGAGATCCTGTCTCAAAACACAACAAAGAAATCCCAGCGGCTTTGGGAATATGCAACTCCTTGGTAGGACACATGAGCCAAAGTAAGGCACTGAGTTGCAGTCATAGCTCCACAGGCCCAGATTCGGAGGAAGCCAGGCTGGGCAGGCCAGGGAGTAAGCATACTGGCATGGGGATCGTCTGGGGTTCTGACAGCCAAGCTGGAGAGGTAGGAGACAATGGAGCACAGGGGTCCTTTCATAAAGGGCCTCATGAGAAGAGTAAAGAAGACCGCACTCTGCAGAGATACAGAGACACTAAAAGATTGGGAACCAAGTGTGGCAGCTCACATCTGCAGTCCCAGTACTCAGGAGGCTGAGGCAGGAAGATTTCATGGCCAGCCTGGGCTATTAGTGACTTTCAGGTCAGTTTATGTTTCACAGAGTGAAACCAATATCAAACAAATAAGCAAAAAGACCTGGTGGAGACTGGAGATGGAGCTCAGTTGGTAGAGTGCTGGCTCGGCATGCACAAAGGCCTGGGTTCCATCCCCAGCACCGGCATGGTGGCTGGTGCCAGACATCCGGAGCTCAGGAGGCAGAGAGATAAGGATCAGAAATGTGAGATCATGTTGGGCTGGGGCACATGACACGCTGTCAGTAAAGGGGTTGGAGAGATGGCTTAGCAGTTAAGAGTGCATACCGCTCTTGCAGAGGACTAGGGTTCAGTTCCCAACACCCACATCTGGTGGCTCACAACTGCCTGTCACTCCAGTTCCAGGATATCCAAAGTCCCTAGGTCTCTGCGGGCATCTGCACACAGGTGGTGCACATAAAGTCACACAGGCACACACACATACACATAACTATAAATTGTAAATTTTTTTAAAATTATTTATTTATTTATTTATTTATTTAGGTCTTTTATTTGGTCTTTTTGAGGCAGGGTTTCCCTGTAGCCCCAGCTGTCCTGGAACTCACTATGTAGACCAGGCTGGCCTTGAACTCACAGAGATCTGCCTGCCTCTGCCTCCCGAGTGCTAGGATTAAAGACGTGTGCTGCCATGCCTGGTTTATTTTTATTTTATGTCCATGTGTGTTTTGCCTGCATGTAAGTGCACTACATGTATACAGTGCCCACAGGCCAGAGAGGGTGTTGTATCCCCTGGAACTGTAGTCACAGTTATTAGCTGCCTGATGTGGGTGCTGGGATCTGAACCCAGGTCCTCTACAAGAACAGCCAGTGCTCTTAACTATTGAACCATCTCTCCAGTCCCAATAAATGTTTTTAAAATTAAAATTAAAGCCGGTGGCACAGGCCTTTAATCCCAGTACTCGGGAGGCAGAAGCGGGCAGATGTCTGGAAGTTCGAGGCCAGCCTCGTCTACATAGCCAATTCCAGACCAGCAGGGCTACAGGGAGACCCTATCTCATAAGGAAGAAAAAAAAAAATGGGGGCTGGAGAGTTGGCTCAGCAGTTAAGAATACTGGTTGTTCTTGCAGAAGACCTGTATTCAAATCCCAGCACCCACGTGGCAGCTAACAACTGTCTTAACTCCAGTTCCAGGGGATCCAGCCTCTTCTGTCCTCCAAGGGCATTGCATGACATGGGTGCACTTACCTACACGCATGCAATACACACATACACATAAAAAATAAAATATTTTTTAAATTTTATTTATTGTTTTGATTTTATGTGTATGCATGTATTGCCTGCATGTATGTGAGTGCACCAGTGTTGTGCAATGCCTCAGAGGTCAGAAGAGAGCTTCGGATTCCCCTGGAACTGGAGTTAAGGACCATTCGTAGCAGCCATGTGGGTGCTGGGAATCGAACCCTGGTCCTCTGTAAGAGCAGTCAGTGCTCTTAACCGCTGGGCCATCTCTCCAGCCCTAAATAAAATATTTTAAAAAAATAAAAAGCAAACTGGAGGCAGAGGGGTTGGCAGGCCACTGTGTGCTACAGAACTTCAGGTAACAACAGCAAATTGAGGGGGTGAGACAGGGTGTTGAGCTGGGGGTAGAGTGGGGATTCTTCAGGGGATGCAGAATGCTGTGGGCATTTGGTTTGCATGGAGAGCAGTGCCAGACACAAAGCAAACATTGACAAGATTACTCTCCCCAGGAGGTGGATGTGGGCCTGGCTGCTGATGTGGGAACCCTGCAGCGACTGCCCAAGGTCATCGGGAACCAGAGGTGAGTGGGGAGAGCAGAAGCTGGAGAGAAGGGGACAGGTGAACTTCTCCCAGAGCTGGGATGACAGGATCTCCTGATCCACCCTCCCCTTTTACAGCTTGGTCAACGAGCTGGCGTTCACTGCCCGCAAGATGATGGCTGACGAGGCCCTGGAGAGTGGGCTGGTCAGGTAGGGCCCCAGGCTAGCTGATAGCATTGAGGTGCTTAGGGCCAGTCAGGCCAGGGTGGGGCATTGGGGATCATTCCCAGTGGCCTCTTTCTCAAAGTGGCAGCCTCTTCCTCCCAGGCCCAGCATCACCTTGTGGTTGAGTCCTTTGCCTGGGGTCTTTTCAGTGAAGGTCACCTGGCCAGTCGTGATGGAGAGGGAAAGAAGCCCTTCTCAAATTTTTTCCTACCCTGGCAGCCGCGTGTTCCCAGACAAGGACGTCATGCTGGACGCCGCCTTTGCCCTGGCAGGGGAGATTTCCAGCAAGAGCCCCGTGGCAGTGCAAGGAACAAAAATAAACCTAGTCTACTCCCGAGACCATTCTGTGGATGACAGCCTCGACTACATAGTAAGGCTACACCAATCACAGCCCTCCCTGATACAGAGTGACCAGTTCCAGCTCTGCATGTGCATCGGCCTCTTCCTCGAACAGGTGCCCTGCCAGCCTTAACCACACCCTCTTTCTCCAGGCCACCTGGAACATGAGCATGCTGCAGACCCAGGACATCATCAAGTCGGTCCAGGCGGCCATGGAGAAGAAGGACTTGAAAAGTGTCACATTCTCCAAGCTCTGAGAGCCTTCAGGTCCAAGGAGCCTTTCCTGATGCCCACGCTTTGTTCTGTCCTTCCACAGTCTCCCAGTATAATTTGGGACTCTGTTCTACATGCAGCCTTGCTGTCTTATCTTCACTGTGGACAATAAAGTCCTGAAAACAACCTGGTGCTTTTATTGCAGGGAGTGAGGGTGAAAGATGTCTGGCTCCAGGGAGGGCAGCCGGGGCGGAAGCAGCTGGGAAGGTTGGGGAGCAATTCTGATTAGGCAGAGAGAGAGAGTATAAGAGAGATTAGAGTCTGCAGAAGGCTGACAGGCCACACCAGCTCCCCATATCTGGCCATGGTGGTGGTGGTGTTGGTTTTGAGGGGTTTTTTTGAGACGGTCTCCCTGTACCCCCTGCTGGCCTGGAACTTACTATGTAAACCGGGCTGACCTTGATCTCACAAAGGTCTGCCTCCCTCTGCCACCCTAGTGCTTTGAGATGTGTCCGCCCTGCCTGGCACCAGTCTATACAGCACCACACAGTGGGACCTGGTACATGGAGCTGGACTGAGTCCTTGGCTACCAATCTGGAGCCAATTGCCTTATTATTTATTTCTTTAAAAATTGTTTACTTGCTGGTCATGGTGGCGCACACCTTTAATCCCAGCACTCGGGAGGCAGAGGCAGGCGGATAGCTCTGAGTTGAAGGCCAGCCTGGTCTACATAGTTCCAGGAGCTGGGGCTACAGAGAGACCCTGTCCAAAAAGACCAAAAAAAAAAAAAATTGTTTACTCATTTTAAAGATTTATTTATTTTTGTGTGTATGTGTGAGTACCTGCATGTATGTATGTGTACCACATGTATGCTGGTACCTGTAGAGGCCAGAAGAAGCCCCAAATTCCCTGGCCCTGGAGTACAGACAGTTGTTACCTGCCCATGTTAGTGGGTGCTGGAAATTGAACCTGGGCCAATCTTCAAGAGCAGCACAGGCTCTTAACCATTGAATAATCTCTCCAGCCTCTATTTTTACTTTAGTGTATGAGTGTTTTGCGTGCATGTGTATATGTATACCACATGTGTGCCTAGTGCCTATGGAGGCTAGAAGAGGGCATTAGATCCTTGGAACTGGCATTACAGATGGTTGTTAGCTGCCATTTCGGTTCTGGGAACTGATCCCAGGCCCTTTGCAAGATCAGCCAGTGTTCTTAACCACTGAGCCATCTCTTCAGCTTTAAAGGATTATTACATTATGTGTGCGTGCACAAGGGAATTGATGCTCTCCTTCTAGCATGTGGGTCCTAGGAATCAAACTTGGTCATCAGGCTTGTGGCAGGTACTTTACCTGCTGAGCGTTCTGACCAGTCCTCTTTTGGTTGAGACACAAGCTGATATAGATTAGTCAGGCCTCACACTCACTGTGTAGCTGGAAATGACCTTGACCTCCTGATCCTCCTGACTCCACCTCTTCGGTGCTGGGATTACAGATGTGCATCACCATGCCTGGCCACTTGAATTTTTTTTTTTTTTTTAACTTTGGGCTTTCTTATCCATGAATAAGCTCAGCCTTCCGGATTTATGTTTGGAATGAATGTAAGGGCCAAACATTTATCTAGTGTCTTCTGTATGCCAAATCATGTACTGAGCATTTATTAACTTAGTGATTCTCCTGCCCCTCCCTTCCTCTGCATATTGCTGGCCATGGCACCCAGGGCCCCACACATGCTAGGCAAGCGCTCTACTGAACTGCCTCTTTGGTCTTCTAACTTTTTATTTCATTTTACTTTTTTTTTTTGTCTCTTTGAGACAGGGTCTCCCTGTAGCCCCAGCTGTCCTGGAACTCACTATGTAGACCAGGCTGGCCTTGAACTCACAGAGATCCACCTGCCTCTGCCTCCCGAGTGCTGGGACTACAGGCGTGCACCACCATGCCCGTCTATTTCATTTTACTTTTGATTTTGTTTGAGTGAATGTACATGTGTGGAAATGCATGTGAAGGTCAAAGGTCAACCTTAGGTGTTGATCCACATTGTTTTTTGTTGTTTTTTAAAAAAATATTTTATTATTTTTATTTTAGGTGTATGAGTGTATTGCCTGCATGTATGTGAATGCACCCATGTGGTGCAATGCTGCAGAGGTCAGAAGAGGTTTCGGATTTCCCTGGAACTGGAGTTAAGGATGGTTTATAGCCATCATGTGGGTACTGGGAATCGAATCTTGAATCCTCTGCAAGAGCAGTCAGTGCTCTTAACCACTGCGCTATCTCTCCAGCCCCAACATTGGTTTTTTTTTAAATGCTTTTTAACTTTTTTGTGTATGTGTTTTGCCTGCATAGAAGTAAGTGCATCCATGTTGTGTAATGCCTGCAGAGGCCAGAAGAGGGCATCAGATCCCCTGGAACTGGAGTTATAGGTGGTCGTTAGCCACCATGTGGGTGCTGGGAACCAAACCTAGGTCCTATGCAAGAGCAACCAGTACTCTTACCACTGAACCATCTCTCCAACCCCCACCTTTCCTTTTGAGACAAGATCTCTCCCTGAGAACAAATGCTCGTCAATAAGGTGACGCTGGCTGGCTAGGTGGCCCCAGAGATCTAGGATCTGCTTGTTTCTGCCTCCCCTGGTGCTCAGATTATGGGTGTGTGCCCATGCCCGGCTTTTTGTGTGGCCCTGGCTTGAACTTGAGCCTCATGCTTATTTGGCACTTTATTGACTGAGCTTTCTCCACAGCCCTATTTTTAAAAATATTTTATTTATTATTTTTATTTTATGTGTATGAGTGTATTGCCTGTATATATGTAAGTGCACCTGTGTCATGCAATGCCTTCAGAGGTCAGAAGAGGGTGTCCAGTTCCCCTAGAACTGGAGTTAGTTATGAATGGTTGTTAGCTCCCTAGCCCAGGGCCTTGAACTTTTGATCCTCCCACTTCAGTGCTGGATACTGAACCCTGGTCCCCTGGAAGAGCAGCCAGTACCCTTAACTGCTGAGTGATCTTTCCAACCCCACGACCTTGTTTTTGTTTTTTTTGAGACAGGATTACATGGAGCCCACGCTGACCTTGCTTGAACTCAAACGTGCTATGTAGGTGCTAGAGAGATGGCTCAGTGATGAAGAACTCTGGCTGCTCTTCCTGAGGACCCAAGTTCAATTCCCAGCACCCACACAGTGGCTAAAAACTGTCCATAACTCCAGTTCCAGGGGGTCCAAAGCCCTCTTCTGACTTCCATAAGCATTGCAGGACACAGGTGCACTTATGTAGGCAATACACTCATACACATAAAATAAAATTTTTTTAAAAAGTGCTGTGTAGCCAAGGCTGGCTTCGAACTCCCAACATTTCTGCCTTCACCTCCTCTAAGTGCTGGCATAGAGGCATGTACCGCCACGCTCAGAAATTTTGCTCTTTTGAGATAGGGCCTTGAATTTTGTTTTTTACATGTATTTATTTCTGCATGTGTGTTTGCCTTTGTGTCTGTGCCAGAGGACAGCTTGCAGGGACTGGTTCTCACCTTCCACCATGTGGGTCCTGGGGATTGAACTCAGGTCGTCAGGTTTGGCAACAATCGCCTTTACCCACTGTACTAGCTCCCTGACCCAGGGCCTTGAACTTTTGATCCTTCTGCTTCAGCCTCCTAACTACCTGCTATTGATTACAGACCTGTAATCAGTGACTGGTTTTTTTTTTTTTTTTCAAGGTTTTGCTGTACAGACCAGGCTGGCCTGCAGCTTGTAAGCTATCTTCCTGCCTCTGGAATTACAGACCTGAGTCACCTGGCTTTGATTTGTAGGTTTTGTTTGTTTAGGGGATCTCATGTATCTTGGATTCACTATGTAGCCTCGAATGACCTTGGTCATTCTTGGTCTTCCTGGTCTCTGGGCCAGAGTGCTGGGATTATAGTTCATGTACCACCATGCCCTGGGTGTGCAGTGCTGGGTGTGAAACACAGAGTTTCCTTCCTGTTAGGCAAGATGCTACCAAATAAGCTGCATTCTCAGCCCTCCCCCCTTTTTAAAATTTTATTTATTTTTATTTTATGTGTATACATGTATTGCCTGCATGTAGGTAAGTGCACCCGTGTCATGCAATGCCCACGGGGGTCAGAAGAGACTGTTGGATCCCCTGGGACTGGAGTTACAGACAGTTGTTAGCTGCCATGTGGGTGCTGGGATTCAAACCTGGGTCTTCTGCAAGAACAACCAGTATTCTTAACCGCTGAGCCATCTCTCCAGCTCCCCCTTTTGTTTTCTCCTTTTAAAATTACATTTATTTATTCTGTGTGTGTGAACACTCACTAATGCATACCATGTTACAGTGCTCCGGTGGACGTCAGAGGGAGTCATTTCTCTCCTACCATGTGGGTCCTAGGAATTGAACTCAGGTCATCAGGTCAGGCTTGGTGGCAAGCACCTTTACCTACTGAGCCATCTTGCTTGCCCTGTTTATTTGTATTTTGAGACAGGATCTCAACACTGTAGCCCTGGCTGTCTGGAACTCACTATGTAGACCAGGCTACCTTCAAACTTAAGGCAATTCTCCTGCCTCTGCCCTCCACGTGCTGGACTCACAGGCCTGAGCCACCAGGTCTGGCCACTGGCTGGGGTTGTTGTCAAGGACTTATTTCACCCATTTTACATATGGGTAAATTGAGAGGGGGATAATGGCACAGGATCACACAGCGGGGAAGTGGACATGGTAGGATTGGAACCCAGAACCTGTGGCCCTATCTGTGTGTGCTGTAAGCCCCTGTGCATATAATGCTTGGGGTCAGGAGGTGCAGGGCATACTGCACCTTCTTGCTCCCCTGCTTCCACTGGCCACCTGTCTAGCCACTCCTGTGGCCCAGCCCTGCCCTGCCCACCTGCTCTCACCCTCCCTCTGCCAACACTCCTTGGGGCAGGGTTTTATGGTTCTGATAAGGCCTTGAAAGAACAAAGTCCAGGAGTACTTCCTCTTTGTGGGAGGACCTGGGAGGGTCTACATCCTTGCTGGACAGGAGACTAGGGTGTGCCCTCAGGATCCCTAGCAGAGGGACCTCACCAACCCTCCCTGGGCAGCCACTCCCCTCCTATAAGGACCACCTGCACTTGCCACCATTTCCTACTCCTGCAGGCTTCTCTCAGGACGAACTACCTACCCAGTCTTTCAAGATGGCCTTTGTCCCTGCACCAGGCTACCAGCCCACCTACAACCCGGTGAGATACCTGCATGAGCCCACCACCCCAGGCCCACTTCCCAAACTCCCAGTTTTTTTTTTTTTTTTTTTTTTTTTTTTCTTTTTGCTATGCTGGGGCAGTGAAGGTCAAACCCTAGACCTTGTACACGCTAGGCAAGTGTTCTACTACTGAACTACATTTGCAGGCCCACATCCCTAGTTTCATCTCCCCTGTTTAAAGGTCTGGGGGACTTTGGGGTGAGGAGAAAGCTATAAAGGGCAGACAGCCTCTAAGGCTCCTCACTGGCCCCTTCTTCAGACTCTGCCCTACAACAGGCCCATTCCAGGGGGCCTCAACATCGGAATGTCTGTATACATCCAAGGAGTGGCCAAAGAGAAGATGAGAAGGTGAGAAATGCCCCTGCTCACTCCAGGGAGGGGCCTTCTTCCTCTCACCCTGTGCCAGGTACAGCTTGGAGCATGCTGGGACTAGGGTGCTCATTGGCATGTGGGTCATAGCCTGTGGAGACAGAAAGAAACAGGGAGACCCCAACCTGGGGGGGAAGAAGAGATGGAAGGCCAGTAGAGTAAGGGGCTGAGTGGACAGGAGAGGTCAGGGGAGGGGTGGCCAAGAAAGGTGGCCATAGAATTGGGACAATGCCTTGGAAATCACAGATTTGAGAATGTGACTCCAGAGAACAAGCTCAGAGCATGCTCCAAGTTTGAACCCCCAGGTCGGCCACTCAGCAGCCATGTGACCTTGAGAGCTGCTGTACCTCTCTGGGCTTCAGCTTCCCAACTGTAAAATGGAACGATTGTCCAGATTTGCCATGCAAAAGAGAGTGATTGCTTCTTCTAGGGCCCGATATAGTGATGATAGGTGAACTGACCTGAGATTTTTTTTTTTGTCTTTTTGGGGTGTGTGTGTGTGTGTGTGTGTGTGTGTGTGTGTGTGCATGTGCATGCACATATGTGCCCATGTGTGGCTGTACCATTCCTCAAGCACCATTCACCTGTGTGTGTGCTTGTGTTTGTACATTTGTGTGCATGTGGAGAACAGAGGACAACTAAGGGTGTCCTTCATCAGTGACTGTCCATCTTGTTTTTTGAGACAGACTCTCACTAGGACCTGGAGATTGTTGATTAAGCTAGGCTGGCCAGTGAGCCTGAGGCCCAGCTTTTTCCATGGGTTCTAGAGTTGAACTCAGGTCCTCATGTTACACAGCAACTACTTTACTGGCTGAGATATCTTCTCAGTCCCCCAATGCCTTCCTTCCTTCCTTTATTTCTTTCTTGACAGCATCTCACTATGTAGCCTTGGCTGGCCTGGAATTCAGAACTCGCTATGCAGACTAGGCTGGCCTTGAACTCACACAAATCCACCTGCCTCTGTCTCCCAAGTCCTGGATTAAAGGCGTGCACCCTGATGCCCTGCCAATTCTTCCTTCTTTATTCAGCATTTCCTCCTTATTAAGCCACATCCTGCCGGTGCTAGGAACAGAGCAGTGACCAGGACTAAGAGCCGTGTCCTCGGGAATCCATGCTGTAATCCCAGCACTCAGGAGCTGAGGCAGAGTATCACAAGTTAAAGGCCAACCTACTACAAAGAGAGGCCCTGCCCTGCCTTGTGCATCCCCCTGCACCCCCCAAGAAAAAGGAAGGAAAAAGAAAAGCTAAAAGAAAGAGAAGGGGTCAATTAACCCTGGTCCTCGGAAGAGATGGAAGAGACGGGAGGAAGGGGTTGAGAAAGAGAAATAGAGAGGAGAGGGTGGTCACAGGACTCTGCTTCCTGAAACTACAGGCCACATCATCCCTCCTTCCTGGGTCAATGGTGCTGATACCTGGGCAGGGTGATACCTGCGCAGGATGGGGTCAGGGCTTCCTACAGGAGGCCCCACGCACTGGCAGATAGTGTCTATACCAGCCCTAACATCCCACCAGGTTCCATGTGAACTTCGCGGTGGGGCAGGACGAGGGGGCAGATGTCGCCTTCCACTTCAATCCCCGCTTTGATGGTTGGGACAAGGTGGTCTTCAACACCAAGCAAGGTGGACAGTGGGGTGAAGAAGAGAAGAAGAGGAGCATGCCCTTCAACAAAGGCACACACTTCGAGCTGGTATTCATGGTCCTGGCTGAGCACTACAAGGTCTGAGACCTCCTTCTTGCAGTCCTTCCTCCCTGCGGTCCTCCCTCCCTGCGGTCCTCCCCCCTGCGGTCCTCCCCCGTGCGGTCCTCCCTCCCTGCGGTCCTCCCTCCCTGCGGTCCTCCTCCCTGTCTGATCAAAACCCTGAGCACACAAAGGAAAACCCAGAGCACAAAGAACCAGTGCCTGCTAGGCCTTTCAAGCATAGTCCTTCAATACCCGTACTCTTCCTGCTCTTCCCATGCTGTTCACCAGCAGATCCCAGTTGTGACCTCATTGTATTCACCAGTATTGCCATGTTTTAATTGGATTTGATTTTTATTTATTTATTATTTATTTATTTATTTATTTATTTATTTATTTATTGGGGGGTCCAATACCATGGCACACATTCGAAGGTCAGAGGACAGTTTGTGGGAGTTCTCTTCCCACAATTCTCTTCCTCTACCGCATGTGTCCTAGGGTTCAATCTCAGGGTCAGGCTTGACAGCAAGAATCTGCCTGCCTCTGCCTTCCAAGTGCTGAGATTAAAGGTGTGCACCACCAAAAGATTTTATTTAGCTGGGCGTGGTGGCACATATCTTTAATCCCAGCACTTGGGAGGCAGAGGCAGGTGGATCTCTGTGAGTTCAAGGCCTTGTTAGTGAGTTCCGGGACAGCCTGGGCTACAGGGAGACCCTGTCTCACAAAGGACCAAGAAGAATGATAAGCCTTCTGCTGATGTTCCCAAGTAGCTGACGCTCTGAATATTTGCTCACAAGCTTCTCCTACCATTTCATCTATCGATAAAATATACCGAACGTTTATAGCTCGGTATTCTTCCAAGAACTTTAGTGTTCTTGCAGAAGACCCGGGTTCGAATCCCAGCACCCACATGGCAGCTAACAACTGTTCATGACTCCAGTTCCAGGGGATCAGACAGCCCCTTCTGTCCTCCATGGGCATTGCACAACACGGGTGCACTTACTTACATGCAGGCAATATACACATACACATAAAAATAATAAATAAGGGGGCTGGACAGATGGCTCAGCAGTTAAGAGCACTGACTGCTTTTGCAGAGGACCCAGGTTCGATTCCCAGCACCCACATGGCAGCTACGAACCGTCTTTAACTCCAGTTTCAGGGGAATCCGAAGCCCTCTTCTGACCTCCACGGCATTGCACGACACGGGTGCACTCACATACATGCAGGCACTACACTCATACATATAAAATAAAAATAACAAAATATTTTTAAAAGTAATAAATAAAATATTTTTTTAAAGATTGTATTTATGGGCCTGTGGAGGAAAATATATTTATTTTTTAAATTAATTAATTTTTATTTTATGTGTATGAGTGTTTTGCCTGCATGTATGTAAGGGCACTTGTGCATGCGTTGCCTGTGGAGGTCAGAAAAGGGCATTGGATCCCTTGGAAATGGAGTTAAGGAAGGTTGTTAGCCACCATGGAGGGTGCCAGGAACCAAATCCAAGTCCTCTGCAAGAGCATCCAGTGCTCTTAACCACTGAGTCATCTCTCCAGTCTTATTTAATTAATTTTTGAGAGAGGGTCTCACTATGTAGCTATGGCTGGCCTGGAACATGAACTCAGTTCTTGGGAGGCAGAAACAGTCGGATCTCTCTATATAAGTTCAAGGCCAGCGTGGTGTACATAATTAGTTCCAGGCCAGCTGGGGCCACAGGGAGAGCCTGTCTCACAAAAAAACAAAACAATTTAAAAAAAAAAAAAAAAAAAAAAAAAAAAAAAAAAAAAAACAAAGAAAAAAACCAAAAAGCATAGCCACAAGCTATTCTCATACCTAGCAAGGAACTGTTCTTTAAAGTCCCAACACCCCCTGTCCTGTGGCAGTCATTTCTTTGATGCCATGTGTTTGCTTTTTTTGGGTCTCATGTTTCTTAAATTCTAGAATTTGCTATGTGGCTAAGAATGACCTTGAACTTGTTTGTTTGTTCACTATGTACTCCTGGCTGGCCTAGAACTCACTATGTAGATCATGCTGCCTTAGAACTTACAGATCTGCCTGCCTCTGCCTCCCAAGTGCTGGGATTAAAGGCGTGTGCCACCCAACGCAGAAACTTTGAACTTCCTGATCCTCCTTCCTCTACCTCCCGAGTGCCTGAATTCCAGACATGTAACCACCACACCCAATGTGTGTGGTACTGGGGATCAAAGCCAGGGCTAGGTGCATGCTAGGCAAGCATTCTACCAAATGCGATTTATTTATTTATTCATTTATTTATTATTTATTCATTGTGTGTTTATGTGTGTGCAAGCCTCTGCACACATGTGGAGGTCAAAGGGGAACTTGCAGAAGTTGGTTCTCTCCTTTCATCATATGGGTCCTAGGAGGTGAACTCCGGTCATCAGGCAAATGCCTTTATCTATTAAAGCATCTCACCAGTCCTTTTTTTTTTTTTTTTTTGTCTTTTTGAGACAGGGTCTTCCTGTAGCCCCAGCTGCCCTGGATCTCACTATGTAGACCAGGCTGGCCTTGAATTCACAGAGATCCGCCTGCCTCTGCCTCCCGAGTGCTGGGACTAAGGGCATGTGCCACCACATTTGGCTTCCTCCAGTCCTTTTTAAAAACTCTTTAAATTTTAGCATGGAGTCTCACTAATTTTCCCAAAATGTTCTAAACTAGATATTCTCCTGCCTCAACCTGCTGAGTAATGGGATTACAAGTATGCCCCACCACGTCCTGCTTGAGGATCCCACGTTGATGTCCTGCTCAGCATTCAGCACGTGGGAAGCTCTCAGTCCCATAGGGCTGGCTCCTGATCCATTTCTGTCATGTGTGCAATGATCAGACACTTGATGACATAAAGTGCACACAGCTGTGGAGGCAGCTGGGCTCCAGGACAGTGCCATAGCCTCTGACATGCCTGACTGGGTTGTCCACCCTCTTGAAAAAGTCACAGATGAGCCAGGCATGGTGGCACACACCTTCAGTCCCAGCATTAATTGGGAGGCAGAGGCAGGCAGATCAGGTCAGCCTGGTCTACGTAGTGAGTTCCAATCCCACACCACTACAGGGAGACCCTGTCTCAAAAATACCACCCCCACCAACAACAACAATGAGCAAATGCACATTTCACAGAAAGTTCCAGACAAAGGCTCAGAAAGGTAGAGTGACTTACCTGAGGTCACACAACCCAGACAGTGTCCAACCTAGACCTTAAACCCAATTCATTTGGTACTAATACAGGCCCCCAGGGCTTGATTCTCTGACTTTCATAGACTAAATTTTCCATTCAGACTGCAGCTTGACCTCTGGTCTATATAGATCCTAAAGTTCCTAACTGTGAGGCTCTCCCAGCACCTAGCAAAGGCTTTGGAGATCCCTTGGGACTTGGGAGATAACTCATTCAGTAATGTGCTTGCTATGCTTCAGTTCAAGCCTTAGCAACCACATAAAGAACAAGGTATGGCCAAGCATGGTGGTGCACACCTTTAATCCCAGCACTCAGGAGGCAGAGGCAGGTGGATCTCTGTGAGTTCGAGGCCAGCCTGGTCTACATAGGATAGGGAATTCTAGGCCAGCGGGGGCTACAGGAAGACCCTGTTTCAAAAAAGACCAAAAAACAAAAACAAAGAAACAGCCAGGTGTGTTGGTGGCCCATGCTTGTAATTCCAGAGAATCCCTGGGGCTCACTGGGTAGTTAGCCTAGCCTACTTGTCAGCCACTAGCTTTAGTGGGAGACCTTTCTCTCAAAAAACAGAGTCGGTGGGGCTGGAGCGATGGCTCAGCGGTTAAGAGTGCTGGCTGTTCTTACAGAGGACCTGGGTTTGCTTTCCAGCACACATGGTGGCTAACAACCATCCCTAACTCCAGTCCCAGGGGATCCAATGCCCTCTTCTGCAGGCATTGTGTGCAAAGGTAAACTTATATACATGCAGGAAAAACACTCATTCACATAAAAATAAATATATTTTTTAAAAAGTCACAAAGTTGGAGACTGGGCATGGTGGCTCACACCTGTAATCCCAGCACTCAGGAGGCAGAGGCAGGTGAATCTCTGTGATCGAGGCCAGCCTGATCTACATCGTGAAATTCAGGCCAGCTGAGACTACAGGGAGACCTTGTCTCCAAACACACACACACACACACACACACACATACACGAGCTTTTTTTTTTTGTCATTTTGAGACAGGGTCTCCCTGTAGCCACAGCTGGCCTGGAACTCACTATGTAGACCAGGATGGCCTTGAATTCAGAGATTCACCTGCCTCTGCCTCCCAAATGCTGGGATTAAAGGTGTGCGCCACCACACCCAGTGAACATAATTTTTTTAAGTGGATGAATGGCACCTGAGGGGCAATACCCGTGGTTGACCTCTAGCTTCCACATGCATGTGCACATATATGTACCCCACCCGCACACATATGAACGTACACTACACACAAAATAAATAAGATCCCATTTGTACCTTCCCACAGTCCCTTGGAGAGGGAGCTGATGTTGAACACCTTCTCTTTGTCTTCTAGGTGGTGGTAAATGGAAACCCCTTCTATGAATTCAAGCACCGGCTGCCACTACAGATGGTCACCCACCTGCAAGTGGATGGGGACTTGGAGCTTCAATCAATCAACTTCCTCGGAGGCCAGCCTCCTGCATATCCAGTACGGGATGCCCTTCATGTGCCTCCTTAATCCATTCTCACATTCATTTTTGTCTATGTACCTATTCCATGACAGTCCCTTTTCAGGGTGGGACTAGGGACCCTGTGGTGATCAAGACAGTCCACCAGGAAGATGGACACATTACCAGGCAGGGATGGTTCCCATGCTCAACCAGGACAAGGACACTCTGGTTGGTTTTGTGGTCTGGGATAGCATGGTGTTTTGAGAGTCTGAGAAAGGATTTGACCTAGTCATGGGTCAAGAAGGGCTTCAGGAAGCTGGAAAAATGGTTCAGAGGTTAAAGGCACTTACTGCTGTTGCAGAGGACCTAGGTTCAGTTCCAGATCCAGGGAATTTGATGCCCTATTCTGGTCTCCACCAGGCACTGCACACACAGTATACATACAGGCATACAGATAAACACACATACATACATACATATATACATACATACATACATAGACACAGAAAAATAAATAGATAAATAAAAGGACTTTCAGGAGGAAGAGGTGTGTAAACTGAGTCAGAAAGTGAAGATAAGGAAAGAATAGCAGATAAGAAGAATTCAGGACTTGCTGGGCATGATGATGCAAGTCTGTAATCCCAGCACTTGGGAGGTGGAGGGAGGCGGATCTCTGTGAGTTCCAGGCCAGCCTTGTCTACAAAGTAAGTTCCAGGCCAGCTTGGGCTACAGGGAGACCCTGTCTCAAAAAGACAAAAAAAATTATAAAAAGAAGAAGAATTCAGGACTAACAAACAAATTCAGGACAGGTTGTCTAACCATTAGTCTCCCAGGAAACGTAAAATCACAACAAGTCACCATTACATGCCCATCAGAACATTAATAGAAAAAATGCAACACTACAATGCCAAGTGTCATGTCTGCAGGCATGTGGATCAACCAGCGGGTAAATAACCAGTAAAGCTAAGTCTGAAAGCTGAGTAAACATGTGCCACATTGGCCTAGAAGCTCTAGACCTACATGTACAACCCATAAAGTCTCCACAGCAATACACAGCACACCACTTCCAAAACGAAAGTTGAAGGGTGGCTCATTGATAGAGCCCTGCCTAGAATCCCCCAGTGAGGGGCTGGGGTGTGGTTCAGTGTAGATCACCTGCCTAGAATCCCCCAGTGATGGGCTGGGAACGTGGCTCAGTGGTAGAGCACCTGCCTAGAATCCCCCAGTGAGGAGCTGGGGTGTGGCTCAGTGGTAGAGCACCTGCCTAGAATCCCCCAGTGATGGGCTGGGAACATGGCTCAGTGGTAGAACACCTGCCTAGAATCCACTAGTGAGGGGCTGGAGGTGTTGGCTCAGTGGTAGAGTGCCTTTCTAGAATTCCCCAGCAAGGGGCTGGGATGTAGTTGAGCCCTAGAAAGCTCCCTGGGTTCTCTCCCGAGTATCAACCAACTACCTAACAAAAGCCTCAAAGTAAAAACTACCAGCCTGTTCTTCAACAGGTAAGTGAGTAAAAATGAGTTCATTACCCAGTAGAAAGAAGAAACAATTTACAGCCACACATAGCACCAGGGGCCCTGACATCAAAGATCGAGTCTAGCCAGGCATGGTGGCTCCTTCCTGTAATCCCAGGACTCTGGAGGCTGAGACAGGAAATTCCCTACAAGTTCAAGGCCAGCCTGGGTTATAGTTCAAGACCCTGGGGTCTGTGTGTTTTGTGTCTGTGTGTCTGTGTGTCGGTGAGAGAGGTAGAAACAGAGAGGGAGACTGAGGCATCGAGACTGGAAGAGATGTGAACAAACACGTCAAGAGAGCCTGGTAGAGGCAGGACCTCGGGCTGTCTCCCAGGCCTCCTACTGGTCCTAGGACTGTACATATGGAACTGGGGTCATTATTAGGTAGAGATAGGATGACAGGACATTAGAAATCTTGGGAGTCTGGGAAGACATACCAAGACCCCCACTTGCTTCCTGGATTTTACCTTCTGGCTAGCTCCCAGGCTTGCAGGTGAATGAGGGGCCTGGGATAGCAGAAAGTCAGCAAAGGGGTGGGGAAGAGACAACGAACAGAATTTTCTAGACATTGTCTTACAGCATGCTGAGACTCTGGCAGTTCCTAAATACAGCAGCACCTCCCCGTGTGCCAAAGATCCCCTGCATGGTGTGGGGGCTTCCCCGGGGTACACACCCTTAACACCTTCCAGTCTAGAATTAGAGACCGGGACCATGACCTCCTTCTCTCTGTGTGCCCACAGGGACCCATGAATGCACCATCTTATCCTGTAAGTACCTGCTGGTGTGTGTGTGTGTGTGTGTGTGATGGTTTTTCCCAGTGCTTAATGGCAGAGGAGGTCTTGGGACAGTCAGAGGATTCCCCTCCCCCTATACACATGTCATCACCACTCTTGTCTTCTGTCTGTCCACCCTTGTAGAGGCCTGGATACAACCCTCAACAGATGAACAGCCTGCCTGTAAGTGGGAGGGCCTTGTGGGCATGTTTCAGGGATGGGGAGTGGAATCAACTGGGATGGAGGGAGGGGCTGAGCCCAGCTGGTCTAACTGGGCACCTGGGAAAATGCCTGTAAGAAGTAGGTCTGGCCAAATATCTGCCAATTATTGTAGAATTATATCTCCTTTTTCACTTCACAGATCATGGGAGGACCTCCAACCTTCAATCCGGTATAGTGTCTTGGGAGTTTAGGGCTCTCTGGGGGGCAGAGGGGAAGCTGGGAATGTTTTTTGGGGCTTTTTTGTTGTTGTTTTTGTTTTGTTTTGTTTTTTGGTCTTTTTGAGACAGGGTCTCCCTGTAGCCCCTGGGCTGGAACTCTCTATGTAGACCAGGCTGGCCTCGAACTCACAGAGATTCGCCTGCCTCTGCCTCCTGAGTGCTGGGATTAAAGGCGTGGGCCACCACTCGAGGCTGGGAAGCTGGGAATCTTGTGGCGAGAGTGCTGATCTGTGGGGAGCCCGGAAAGGGTGGATAGCATATGGGCTGGGGGCATTTGGGGTGGGAGGTGAGGAGAAGGTGCAGTTGGTAGTCAGGGTTGGGGAGGGGACATGGTTGGAGACAGTTCACAGGAGGAATGCTGCCTGTCTGTAACAGTGTAGTCCTCTCCCGGGCTTCTCTAATTGGACACTGGGTACGGCTTCATATTCTTTTCCTACAGCCTGTGCCATATACAGGGAAACTGCATGGGGGGCTTACAGCCCGAAGAACCATCATAATCAAGGGTTTTGTACTTCCCACAGCCAAGAGGTACAGTACCTAGATGAAGATGAAGCCCTCCACCTCCTCCCTCTGACCAGGGGGTCAGACCCTAGCCTTCCTCCCTCATACCCAGTGGGCCAGACTCCAGCCTTCCTCCCTCAGACTCAGTGGAACAGAGCCCTAGCCCTCTTCTCTCAGACCCAGTGGGCCAGACCCCAGCCCTCCTTCTTTAGACCCAGTGGACCAGATCCCCAGGCCTCCTCCTCCCAGGGGGCCAGACCTCCCAGTCCTCCTTCTTTGGAAATCCAAGTACCAGACCCCATTTGACATCCCCGTTTGTCCTCAGATTAATGATCAACTTCAAGGTGGGGTCCTCCGGGGACATAGCTCTTCACATTAACCCCCGCATGGGGGAGGGTGTGGTTCGGAACAGCTTTCTAAACCGCGCATGGGGCTCAGAAGAGAAGAATATCTCCTACAACCCGTTTCGCCCTGGACAGTTCTTTGATGTGAGTCTGGGGTCCCCTTCTCACCCCCTACAGACTTCTGTCTGTCTGGGTCTCACACTGCCCTTCTTCCGTAGCTGTCCATCCGCTGTGGCATGGATCGATTCAAGATTTTTGCCAATGGCCAGCACCTGTTTGACTACTCCCATCGCTTCCCAGCCTTCCATTTGGTGGACACGCTAGAGATCACAGGTGACCTCACCTTGTCCTATGTTCAGATTTGAGCTGTTCCTGGGAAAACAGAAAGGTCTCCGAGTTCCATCTACGCCTCTAATACAATGTCTGAGGGGTCTCTTGCGTGACTGTGACTCCTTCACCTCCCTCAGGGCCCCTCCCACCCTGGCTTCCATCCTGCAGTCTTGTTCTTCTGGCCAGTCTCCTGCCCATCTTCCCTCCCACTGTAATAAATGTAGGTACGTCAAGCCCTGGCTTCATGTGTACCAACCCGATCACTCCTTACATCAGATTCCAAGAGGGTGGAACTGTTGTTAGAATTTGTCAATAACAGATGAGGAAACAGGCAGGGAAGAAAAAAAATGAAAGAAAAAGTTGGGCAGCTGGTTGGGGGGGCAGAGACATGGGATGGCACATTTATCCTAGCACTTGGGAGGTAGAGGAAGAGGGATCAGATATACAAAGTCTAAGGCCAACCAGATCTCATAGGTAAAGGCCTAGGGACCTAAGTTTGAACCCTGGAACCCACATAAAGTTGGAAAGAAAGAATCGACCCCACAGGGTTGCCCTCTGACCTCTACAGGTATGTAGAGGCACATGCAACCACACACACACACACACACACACACACACACACACACTAATAATAAATAAATAAAATTCTAAAGAAAGAAATTCAAAGTCATCTTCTGCTACATAGCAAGTTTGAGGCCAGCCTAGGCTACATGAGATCCTGTCTCAAAAAAAAAAAAAAAGGAAGAAGGAAGGAGAGAGAGCAAAGCGAATTGCCAAGCTGGGTGTGCTAGCACAGGCTTATAATTCCACCACTTGGGAGGCTGAGCAGAAGTTAGGGAAATTTAAGGTCAGCCTGTGCTACGTATCAAGACTGTCTTTGAAAAAAAAAAAAAAAGCTCGGTTTGGTTGATGACTAATGCCTACAATCCCAGAACTCATGAAACTGAAGCAGAAGAATGTACTGGCTTGGGAGGACAAAAGGGGCAGGGGAGATTACTTGGTCTGCAAAGGGCAGAGCCAGGAATCCAATGTGGCTACACAGCTGTTCTGGCTCCCTGTCACTCCATCCATCCATGCATCTAACTGCCCATCTTACCCATCTCAACTTCCATCACCTTCTCCCATGCCTGAAGCCAACCAAAAGCCCTTCCATCCACCCATCAGTCAAACATCCAAACATCCAGACACCCATCAACCCATCCACCAGTCTACAACCCTCCTCCAATCATTCATCCATGTACCCATGTATTCATCTCTAGCTCTTCAATCATCCTACCATTCATCCCAGTCCACTTAGCTCCATCAACCCAGATGTTTACATGTTCATTCAGCCAATTCATTCACCCAGTCCTACACCTAACCCCTAGCTATTTACAAAAAGACCCAGTGCTGCTGGGCATGGTGGCTCACACCTTTAAGCACAACACTTGAGAGGCAGAGGCAGGTGGATCTTTGTGAAATTGAAGCCAGCCTGGTCTACACAGCAAGTTTCAGGCCAGCTGGGGCTACAGGGAGAACCTGTCTCAAAAAAATCAAAAGAAGGCCAGGTATGGTGGCACATGCCTTTAATCCCAGCACTTGGGAGGCAAAGGCAGGCAGATGTCTGTGAGTTCAAGGCCAGCCTAGTCTACATATTGAGTTCCAGGCCTGCTGGGGCTACAGGGAGACCCTGTCTCAAAAAGGAAAAAAAAAAAATCAAAGAAAACCAGATAACAAACAAACAAAACAAAACACCCAATACTTAACTCTCCTTATAGCTAACTTCCTTCCTCTCCTTTTCCCCCTCCCCCTTTGTTTGACATGCAGTCTTGCTGTATAGATAGCACAGACTGGCCTGGAACTTACTATGTGGATCAAGTTTACCTAGAACTTTCAGTAATCCTCCTGCCTCTGCCTCCCAAATGCTGGGATTACAGGTATGCACAATCACACAGTATTCTGTATTTCTCTCTCTCTCTCTCTCTCTCTCTCTCTCTCTCTCTCTCTCTCATTGTGTTTAACACGGGATGCTGCTATGCAGCATACATTGGTCTTGAACTAAGACATGTAGTCCAGGCTGAAGTGGAATTTTTGAGACAGCATCTCTCTTTGAACCTGCAGTTTATTGGCTGGTCAGCAGGCTCCAAGGATCCTCCTGCCATTAGGATTGCAGGCACATGCCATTGCACCCAGCTTTTTACATGGTTACTGGGGATTTGAACTTAGGACTTTTATGTTTGTACAGCAATTACTTTACCTTACAAAGCCACTGTCCTAGCCCCTAGTTATCTGCTTTTATCCGTTGATTTGCCTCAAGCTGGCTATTCATTGCTAAATCCATTCATCTATCCAGTTAGCCATTCATCTACCCATCCACATATTTTCCCCTTCTTCATCTCTATCTCCTCCTCCTCCTCCTCCCCCCCTCCTCCTCCGTTTTAGGGTTAGAACCTGGGGCCTTGAGCCGCCTAGGCACTCTCCTGCTGTTTCATAGTTTTGATGATTGATTTATTAATGAAATGCACTAAGCAGTTTTCTGTCACATATATTCCACATATATTGCACATATTTTGCTCATTTCCCATTGTCGTTTGTATTTCAATATTATTTCATAAGGCTGAGGACATGTCTAAGTATTGGAGCACTTGCCTAGAATCCGTGAGGTCTTGGGTTCCATGTAGACCAGGCTGGCCTAGAAATCACTAAGATCTAAGATTTACTTGCCTCTGCCTCTATGTAGGAGCTGAGGACCAAATCCAGGTCTCTTCAAGAGCAGCCAGTGCTCTTAACCACTGAGCTATCTCTCCAGTCTCAACTTTTTTTGAAAAATTTAATTATTTTTTGGTCTTTTTTGAGACAGGGTCTCCCTGTAGCCCCAGCTGGCCTGGAACTCTCTGTGTAGACCACACTGGCCTTGAACTCACAGAGATCCACCTGCCTCTGCCTCCTGAGTGCTGAGATTAAAGGCGTGGGCCACCACACCCAACTTCCAACCTCAACATTTAAACCTTTTTGTTTGTTGTTTTGAGAGAGGATGTCATTCTACAGCTCAGGCTAGACTGGAACTAGTCTGGTAATTCTATTACCTCAGCAGCTCCTGAGTGCTAGGATTAGAAGTTTGAGTCACTATGCCCAGGTTTCTGCAGATTTTTTAAAAATTTATTTTTATGTTGTGTATATAAGTGTTATCCTTGCATGTATGTAAGTGAACCCGTGTCCTACAGTGCCCGAGGACAGAAGAGGACATCAGATCCTCTGTAACTGGAGTTACAGATGGTTGTTAGCTGCCATGTAGGTACTGAGATTTGAACCTGGGTCCTCTGCAAGGACAGCCAGTACTCTTAACAGCTAAGCTCTCTAGCCCCTGTTTCTTTCTTTAAGGACATTTTAGAGCTAGAGAGACAGCTCAGAGGTTAAGAGCACTTACTGCTCTTCAGAAGACCTGAATTTGATTCCCAGCCCCCATGTCAGGTGTTTCACATCCACTTGTAACTCCAGGTCAAGGAAGTCCGATGCCTCCACAGGCACCCACACTCACATGCACATTCCCACATGTAGACACACAGGTATACATAATTAATAATAATAATAAGGCTGACTGTGGTGGCACATGCCTTTAATCCCAGACTCAGAAGGTGGAGGCAGATGGATCTCTATGAGTTCGAGGCCAGCCTGGTCTACATAGAGAGTTCCAGGCCAGCTGGGGCTACAGAGTGCAACCTTGTCTCCAAAACTAAACAAACAAAACAAAACAAAAAACCTCAAAACTAATCTTACAAAATGATTTTATTTGTGTGTGTCTGTGGCTGCTGCCTCAGGCCAAAAAAGTGTCAAGAGTCTTCGGAGCTGGAGTTACAAGAGGTTGTCTGCGGGGAACCAAACTCTAGTTCTCTGCAAGAGCAGTAAGTGCTTTTAGCCACTGAGACATCTGTCTCTCCAGCCTCAGTGGTTTTAAGACAGGGCCTCACTATGCCTAAATCAGGTTGATCTTAAGTTGCAGCCATCCTCCTGCCTCTGCATCCTGAGTACCAGGGTTACAGACCTGCCTCACCACCCAACCCCTGACAGCTTCTAAATACTTGTAACAGACTAATAAATATACATGAACTCACTGAACACTGGGCCCTGGTGGAATCGGGGATTCCAGGCCTTCACCAGTCTCTTGTGGAAGGGGGTACTGTCATGACTGCCTTCTCCCAGTGCTCATGGGCCTGGCACTAGAATACACTGTCCAGAGGAGGGTGGCTGGTACCCAAAACATCGGATCCTAAAAGTACTACAGTCCGGGGATCTGGACCTCCTAATTCCACTGACACGAGAGATTCAAGAGAAACCAACCCCCCACCCCCCGCAGAGGCTACAAGGTGGCAATACGGGCTGCTGCCGCCAAGAGGGGTGCGAGACACGCTGCATTGAATGTAGGTGGAGAGCCTGGGGCTCATTCCGCCTGGGTGTGGCTCGGAAAAAATCTTTGGGGAACTTGGCCTTGAAGACACAAACTGCAGGCTGCAGTCGAGGTCCAGAGCAGCATCCTCACTGCTGGGTGCAGTGCAGGGTGTGGGACTCAGGGCCTCGGGTGATCCTGGTGTCCCTGGCTGTAGCCAGCAGTGAACTGCAGCGAGTCCTGCAGCCCCGAAGTCACCGCCTGTGGCCCGGGATTAAGACTTCAGGGCCTGTGCGGAAGGGGCGCGGTGGGGACCCCGTCCGGCCTCTATGGCCCGCACCCCTTGGCACATTACCTGCTGAAGCCATCACGTCTGTCCCGAGGATGCGCGAGCCACGACCTGTCCTCACACGGGGCGGGGCGTGTAGCTGGGTTTGGCCCAGAGGAACTCTCAGACACTCCCAGCAACTTGGACTACAGGATGGGAGGGATGAGATGGAGGAACAGGGGATCCTGGGGGCCCTGGGTATTTTAGACAATCTACCTGCGCAGGTTTAACCAATAGACAAGGGAATTTATTTTCTCTTTTTTTCAAAAGTACATGGTTTGTATCTGACTGGGGCCTGTAATCTCAGCACCTGGAAGATTGAGGGAGGAGGGTCGAGAGATCACCAGCCTGACTACAAGGTGGGGCTGTATCTCAACAATAACAAGGATGCTGGTGATCACTGATGAGCAAAAGTGGTTCCCAAAATTCACTCCAGAAGAGCAGTTCTACCTTCAGCTACAAGAAGACTTGATGGGGCTGGAGAGATGGCGCAGGGGTTAAGAACACTGGCTGCTCTTGCAGAGGA